GAGCAGGCCCCAGTAACGTCTCTTTCATCCTAGCCCTGAGATTATATTCAAGGTTATTTAGGAGAATGAGACCCATCATTGTTACTGGTATTTGGCATATTTGGTGCGCCACGGGGAGTTTGCCAGACTCTGCCGTGTGGGCAGGCTACATTCGATAGCCTGCAAGTTTGTCCAAAGTAGGAATGAGACAATAAGACAATAAGACAATAAGATGTCATAAAAAAAAGTTCTGATAAGATAATGGAAAACCCTAAACAAACAAAAACAACAGTACTGGCACTACAGCACAGAGGGAGGGTGTTTGCCTGGCACATACGTGGCTGGGTTTGGTCCCCAGCATCCCACATGGTCCCCTGAGCCTGCCAGGAGAGATCGCTGAGTGAGCTCCATGGGGTATGTCTCCACTCCCCAAAAAAGAGAGAAAACACCACCACCACCACCCCCAACAACAGGGGGCTCTCAACCAGGGAAGAAGCCCAAAGGCCTCGAGCACAGGACCCGAGTGTTGAGTCCCCGAGTTCGGTTCCTGGCATCTGCCACGTGTGCGGCCTTGGCGATCCTGGCACCACTGGTCCCGAGCAGCACATCACCAGGCCCCCAACAAACCTCCAGGCCTTCACGGCTGGTGCAAGAATGTCAGGGAGAGGCCCTGGGCCCCCCAAGCTCTGCTGGGGAGCCCCTGCAAGTCAAAAACAAAACAGGCACTTTATCAGCATTTCTAAGAAAAGTAAAGCTGTCTCTTGGTCTCTTGGTTGATTTTTTGCAAATCACATCTGCTTGAGTTTTTAACATGTTTTTTGCCAATGGTCACTGATAGAATAGGCCAAATCTAGCTGAAAAAAAAAAAGACTTAGAGGAAAGTGAAGAAGGTAAATATCAAAATATGGATATGCTAAGTAGTTTGGGACATTTACGTGTCTTTCTTTAGACTGCAAAACAGAAAAATAGTCAGTAGGAAATCTCTAAAGGAAAAGAATTCATGGTAAACATACACAAACAGGCAGCAAGGAAAAAGGAAAACTGAACATAGGAATGAAAATAATATAACTTCAAGCAGGAAATGGCTTTATTTTATTTGGGCAATAGAATCCATCTAAGTAAACTGAAAGAAATTATAAATCTAGCCATTGCTTATCTAGCAAAGTTATCAAAGAAATAATTCCTATACTCTCTTTCAGCAAAATCACAACAGATACCCCGGTGGTTTGAGGCATGCATCAGTTGCTAGACACTTCCCCCCACACACCAGCCCCCCAGGGTCCTGGATATGCTAGGCTCGATTTGTACAGCCAAAGAATCATTTCATCAGTGCTCAGTAAAGCAGGTATCATAAATCAAAGAGCTCTCACTCAAACATCAAGGCTTGGAGGTTGCATCTTAGGAGATTTGAGGTGGACAACATGCCGTAAAGATGCCTCAGCACCCCTGCCAGGCTGTCTCACCTGGGGCCACCCTGGGGGTGTGGGTGTGTTCCCCTCCCCACCCTAACAGAGCCCAGGCAGGCGAAAACCCCAGAACTCAATCGTCGCCATGCTCATGGCCATTCTCCTCGGGCTCGGACAAGCCTCACCCCTGAGTGAATCTGCCGTATAATTGTCTTTTAAATTTAGATTTCTGGAATGTGTGGCCACATTCATGGCTGCGTGACCTCTCATTCTCTACACCACTGATGTACCAAGAGTAGCACACCACATTTGATGGGGTTTAAAGTAGAAAGCAACCAGCCTCGTGGGGAATTTTCATATAAATACATATATATGGACATATATATATATATGTATAAGCACACAAGGCTCAACCTTTAACAAAAATGTTAGTAATCTCTTATACTACGGTTTTATGACTCCAGGGTGAAGTACGGCAATCTTCACACACTTTCCTCTAAGGAAAATTTATTGGATCAGTTTTAGCAGACGATTCATAATAAGCAATACAAAATGATTTGGGTTCTGCTTTGGGGGATACGGATTGGGATTTGGGGTGGAAACATTCAAAATATGATGGTGGGAAGGTGCAATGGTGGTGAGATTGGTGTTCGAATATTAAATGTAATGAATTATTGTGAACAACAATTTTACAAAAATAATTTAATTTTATAATTTGTTAATTTTTATCAAAATAAAATTTAAAAAATTAAAAACATCTTATCAAGACATCTTTTTATGACATCTTATTATCTCATTCCTACTTTGGACAAACTTGCAGGCTATCGAATGTAGCCTGCCCACAGGGCAGAGTCTGGCAAACTCCCCGTGGTGTACCAAATATGCCAGATACCAGTAACAATGATGGGTCTCATTCTCCTAGAGAGCCTTGAATATAATCTCAGGGCTAGGATGAAAGAGACGTTACTGGGGCCTGCTCGAGGCAATCGACGAATAACAGGATGATGAATGAATGAATGAATGGTATGGGATGAGAGCGATACCACAGTGCTAGGCATTTGCCTTGCACACAGCTGAGCTGGGTTTGATCCCTGGCGTCCATTATGGTTCCCTGAGCACCACCAGGAATGATCTCTGAGCGCAGAACCAGCATAAACCCAAGCACTGCTGGGTGTGGCGTGTGTGTGTGTGTGTGTGTATGTGTGTGTGCCTGTGTGTGTGTGTGTGTGTTCTTGGCTACGTTACAGCCATGGTAACTGATACACAGATGAGAAAATCCTATGAAGGGCAAGTATTCTCCTGCATCAGGCACCCACTCCCTGCTGGGTTTTTCTCCTTTCTGACTGCAGGCTCTTGGTGCTTACCCTGTGAGAGCAACATTTTCCGAAGTGGCTTTTGTAGTTGCTGCCACAAACACGTGTTCACTCTCCTTCCACCCTCAGCACCAACTTGGCTGAATGCAGGCGTGCCCTCAGCTCTACAGAAGTCATCACCAGCCCTGGCTGCGGTGTTTCTGCGGCCAGTCACCACACGGGCAGACACTGTCCCCTCAGCTGGACGCCGGGAGGAAGTGCACAGTGTACATGGGACACCATGAGGGGTTCACTCACTGCCAAGGGCTGGTCCCATCACCTCTCTTGCCCAGGCACCACACCATCGGTCACCTTCACTGTGTCAGCAATGAGTGCCAGAGCGATAGTACAGGGGGTGGGCACTTGCCTTGCATGCGGCCAGCCCGGGGTTTTATCCCCAGCATCACACCTGGTCCCCCTGACCCCCACCATCCCCCGTGGTCCCTTCGACCCCCACTATCCCCCATGGTCCCCCCATCCCTGGCATCCCACACGGTCCCCCTGATCCTTGGCATCCCCCGCGGCCCCCCTGGTCCCCGGCATCCCACAAGGTCCCCCCCCATCCCCCCCATCCCTCCTGGTCCGCCCAATCCCACGCATCCCCCACGGCCCCCTGATCCCCGGCGTCCCCCACGGCCCCCTGACCGCCACTGGGAGTGATTTGCTCACGAAGCAGTGAGGCTGCCCTGAGTTCCTAGCAGTCCACCTGTGTGTTCTAAGGCTGCTCCCCCCCACGACCCCCTTCCCGCGGCTACACGTGCAGAGGCAAAGGGTTGGAGCCGCGGAGTCAGCGGCAGTGGACAGCCTGAGCCCTCGTGCAGTGATAGCCAGAGCGCGGGCTGCACGGTTCCAGGCGAGCAAGGCCAGGAGCGCGCTCCCACGGCCTCACAGGGCCACTGCGAGGGGACCTGGTGTCCCTCAGGATGGCGCAGGACAGACCGTAGACCAGCCTGCAGACGCCGGACAGAACCCCTCCACCCGCCCTCGGCCCCGCCCCTTAGCTCCAGGCCCCGCCCCAGCCTTCAGCCACGCCCCAGGAACTCAGGCTTAGCATTAGGCCCCGCTCCTGGCTCTAGGCCCCGCCCCAGGGTTCAGCCCCGCCCCCAGCTCTAGGCCCCTCCTCTCGAGACCTTCGCCCCACCCTCAGCCTTCAGCCACGGCCTTGAGCTCAGGCTCTAGCCCCGCCCCTGGCTCTAGGCCCCGCCCCGGGCCCTCCGCCCCGCCCCCAGCCACGCCCCATGAGCTCACCCCTAGCTCTAGGCCCCGCCCCTGGCTCTAGGCCCCGCCCCCAGCTCTAGGCCCCTCCTCTCAAGACCTTCACCCCGCCCTCAGCCTTCAACCACGCCCTTGAGCTCAGGCCCTAGCCCCGCCCCTGGCTCTAGGCCCCGCCCCGGGCCCTCCGCCCCGCCCCCAGCCTTCAGCCACGCCCCATGAGCGCAGGCCCTAGCTCTAGGCCCCGCCCCTGGCTCTAGGCCACTCCTCTCGAGACCTCCCGCCCTGCCCTCAGCCTTCAGCCACGCCCTTGAGCTCAGGCCCTAGCCCTAGGCCACGCCCCTGGCTCTAGGCCCCGCCCCGGGCCCTCCGCCCCGCCCCCAGCCTTCAGCCACGCCCCATGAGCGCAGGCCCTAGCTCTAGGCCCCGCCACTGGCTCTAGGCCCCTCCTCTCGAGACCTCCCGCCCCGCCCTCAGCCTTCAGCCACACCCTTGAGCTCAGGCCCTAGCTCCAGGCCCCGCCCCTAGCTTTAGGCCCCGCCCCGGAACCTCCGCCCCGCCCTCAGCCTTTAGCCACACCCGTAAGCAGCCGCACTAGCTCCAGGCCCCGCCCCTAGCTTTAGGCCCCGCTCCCGCAATAGGCCCCGCCCCCGCTCTAGGCCCCGCCCCGGAACCTCCGCCCCGCCCTCGGACTTTCGCCACACCTGAAAGCAGCCGCACTAGCTCCAGGCCCCGCCCCTAACTTTAGGCCCCGCCCCGGAATCTTCGCCCCGCCCTCAGCCTTTCGCCACACCCGTAAGCAGCCGCACTAGCTCCAGGCCCCGCCCCTGGCTGTAGGCCCCGCCCCGGAACCTCCGCCCCGCCCTCGGCCTTTCGCCACACCCGTAAGCAGCCGCACTAGCTCCAGGCCCCGCCCCTGGCTGTAGGCCCCGCCCGGAACCTCCGCCCGTCCCCGGCGCGGTGCGGGAGCGCGCCGCCGGCCAGCGCGCACACCCGGGAGGTCATGTGACCGGGGGCGGGGGCGGGGCGCGCGGCCACGTGACCCGCGCGCATGGCGGCGCCCGCAGAGGCCGGGCCGGGCCGGGCGGGCGCGCGCTTCTTCTGCACGGCGGGCCGCGGCCTGGAGCCCTTCGTGCTGCGCGAGGTGCGCGCGCGGCTGGCGGCCACGCAGGTGAGCGGCCGGGGTGGTCGCGCCGAGGGGGCCGGCCCCGCGGGACCGGGGTTCGGGGAGCGCCGAGGGCTCGGGCTCCGGGGCCGAGCCGGGCGGGAAGGGCGGGGGCGGGGCCGGGGCGGGGTCAGGCGCGGCGCTCCCGGTGCCCGCGGGCCGTCGTGCCCGGGCTCCGGACTCCCCCGAGCCGCGTGCCCCGTCGCCCAGCCGGGCCGCGACCCCGCCCTCGTGCGGGCGAGGGGTCCGTTCGCGAGGGTCCCGCCGCGTCGCTCGGGCTCCTGGACGCCCGCCCCGCCCGGACCGGGCTGGCCCATTGTCCGCCCCAGCAGGACGCGGGGAAGGATTCCTGCCCTGCAGAGGCGGAGCCCGGGAGCCGGCATGCACGTCCCTGCCGCTGCCCCCGACCGCCAGGCCTCCTGGGGGCAGCAGGTGACAGGCCGAGTGTCTGGGGAGCCTGGCACGTGCATCTCGCCCGCAGACTGTGCTCTGTGTCAGCAGTCGTGGCCACCCGAATGCACACACACACGCACACCCCTTACCTGCAAGACTTATCTCAGGTGTAGCAGTTGCACACTCCACATGAGCTCACACACATTCACACACACACGCCGCCACACAGTCACACGCAGAACTGCAAGAGTGTGATCTCAGTCTCAGCATCCACTTCCATCTGCCCTCATGGGCACCCCCGCCGCGCCCCACCACCCTCGTCTCTTTCTGATAAAGCGTGGACTCTCGCGTCCCACGGGCAGTGTGATCCCAGAGTGTGTGCAGTGAGTCCCTGGGACTGTGAGCCACACGGCATCACCACAGCTGAAGCTGAATGAACGCCTAGGCCTCGAGCCCCCTCGTGTTCCCGCGTCGTGAACTTCGCTTTTGCTTTTCAGTTCTTGTGTTTTCCTGTCTCCGGACTAGAATAAGACCCAGGCTCCGCGTGGCGCTGAATCCCCGTGAGTCTCTTTCATCTCTTTCCGCCCTGCAGTGCACACGGGAAGCTGTGCCAACAGAGCAGGGCCCACTGGGCAGCGCTGGGTAGGCCGTGGTCTGGCCTGGGGCCCCTGATGCCACCTCGTACAGGATCCACCCCTTAAAGAACCGAACAATCCTTGGCTCTGCGCGCTCCCTGCTTCGGGGCTGTCTGCAGCCTTGGCCGCCCTCGGGGCCAGGAGACCAGGTAGTTGTCTGAGTTAAAGTCAGTGAAGGCGAAGGAAAAGGAGAGGCTGGTTCCGTTGCAGGTGCCTGAGACCAGGGGACACAGTTGCAGGTGGGAACTGTGGACTGCAGCGGGGAGGGGTATGTCACGGGACGGTTTGGGCAGTGCTGCAGGGGGTCCTCGTGGAGGCACAGAAAGTGCCCAGGAACAGATGGTGGAGGCAGAAGCCAGTCTGCAGACACTCAGCCAGGAGGAAAGATGGAAGCCCGCAGCGCCCTGAGGGAGGGACAGAACGGGCTCTCGGGTGCTGAGGGGCTGCATGTGGTGCCAGGGGATGAACCCAGCTGAACTGTGTGCGCATCAAGTGCTTCACCTCTCCTACCGCTCCAGCCCCTCGCCTTGATCTTTGTGTGGCTTGAACTCATGAACTTTAGAAGAAAAGCCAAAATCCTGCTCTCCCAACTGATTTCACTTTATTTATTTATTTATTTTTTGCTTTTTGAGTCACACCCAGCGATGCTCAGGGGTTAGTCCTGGCTCTACACTCAGGAATTATTCCTGGCGGTGCTTGGGGGGTCATATGGGATGCCAGGGATTGAACCCAGGTCGGCCGCGTGCAAGGCCAACGCCTTACCCGCTGTGCTATCACTCTGGCCCCTGGTTTCACTTTAATACAAGCTTTTTCCCCATCTCAAAAGTAGCGCCGTCCTCCCGTTGTTCATCGATTTGCTCGAGCAGCCACCAGTAACGTCTCCGTTGTGAGACTTGTTTTTGATTTTTTGGCATATCACGGGGAGCTTGCCAGGCTCCGCTGTGCGGGCGCGATACTCTCGGTAGCTTGCCGGCCTCTCCGAGAGGGACGGAGGAATTTAAGAAGTAGGAAGCATCAACCAGCTGGATACCTGGGATTTAATTCTGAATGCAGGGACTGTGGGAACTGTCTGAGGAAGTTTTCAGGTCGCAGGACTCGGCATAAAGTAGACCATGGTGCCACGAGTTCCCCGGGGCTCTGTGAACAAATGTGGCGGCTGGTCGGCGGGACTGCAGGGACACAGCTGGGTCTCAGCTCTCCCCACAGCACCCCACTGTCTAGAACAGTCTTCAACCACTGGCCAGTGTGCAGAGGCGGAAGCAGGCGTGTGCGGGGACCATCAAGGGAAGGCCCGCGTGGGTGTTGGAGTGGAGACAGGGATGTGGCCCTGGGTTCTGAGGCCACCTTTGGCCCTGGTGCACCACCACGTTGCTCTTACGCTCACAAGTCCTGACCCAGCCTGCCGTGTCCCCTCTCAGCCTGGCACTGCTCTGGGCTGTGACTGCCCCCCACCCTCACGTCTCTAGGGGCACTCGCTGTCTGAAACGCTTCCCTTGGCCTTGAGCTAGTGGGGGGTGAGGAGGCACCTCCCGCTGGGCCCATGACCACATCAGGGGCATCGCAGGTTCAGGTGTGCACATGTGTGGGCACACGTGTTGTAGGAGTTGGCATCTCGTGCCCACCCTGGGCACCTGCGTCCTCAGCAAGGATGCGACTTCCTATCTCTGCTTTTGTGTTGTGAAGATTTCAAAACCAGTTTTGCTATTCAGTTTCTGACAATAAACTCTGAAAAAAAAAAAAAGAGAATTGTTTGTTTGTGTATCTGTTTGTGTGGTGGGGAGAGTGGGCCAGACCCAGGATGCTCGGGGGTGCTCCTGGCTCTGCGCTCAGGAGTTACCCCTGCTGGGGACCAAATGAGATGCTGGGGGTCAAACCAGGGTCGGCCAGGTGCAGGGCAAGGGCCCTCCCTGCTGTGCTCTCTCTCTTCCCGAACTCTGGAACATCTTTTAAACGCTTCTTGACAGCTGTTGGTTCCTGCTTCTCAGCACTGAGACGTGGGGGCTCCAGGGTCCCGTGTCACCCCCTGCAGCCTTGACTCCTGGCCCTGTTCCTGGGCCTGGGGAATCTGGGTCACGTCGCCGCTGTCTGTTCTCTCTGGGAAGGGCGCTGGCCGCCTGCGCCGAGTGACATCAGTCCCTTTGTTCCTGTCCCCAGGTTGAATACATCTCGGGAAAAGTGTTCTTCTCCACCTGCTGTGGCTTGGACATGCTGAAAAAGTTAAAATCTGCAGAAAGAGTATTTCTGCTCATCAGAAAGCAGCTCCCACTTGCTAGACGTCGAGGTACAGCATCTGCGCCTGCCTCTGCCCCCCCGGCCCTCCCCCGACTGTGTAAACACACAAAGCGGGGCGCAGCACACAGCGGCGGTGGCTCTATCTCTCCTGCCGCCCGCGTTCGGTAGTCTCACCCTTCTCCCACCCAGGGGAGGTCGATGGCGATGGTCAGTCGGAGGAAGGAAATGAGGGCAGGCTGGTTGGTATTAGTTGGTATCCGTTTGTTCTGATCCTCTCTCCATCTACACCAGTCTCTCTTCTCTGCCTCTGCCCCTCCTCCTCTCCTTCTTCCTCCCCCATGCTACTTCATTCTCCTTCTCCATCCCCCTTCATCCTCCTTCTCTTCCTTCTGATCTCTGCTTCTTCCTTCTGATCCCCTTCTGACCCCCAGCCCACGCTTACAGTCTCATTATATCTCTCTCCATGAGGAATTGGGGGAACAATTACACATAGGTGCAGTCACAATCAATAGGGGTAGAAATCAATAGGGGTAGAAATCTTAACCTCAGGGAAAGCCGCTCCTAGGACAGATCCTTCCTCAGCAGGAGGACCCACCCTAGAGCCGAATCCCAAGGGTGTGTTTCTCCTCTCCTTGTCCAACAAGTATATAAGAATATATAATATAAATCATTCTGTATGGATACAGTAAGAAATACCTTAAACTTATAGAATTGCTCTCCTAGGGCCATCTCGATCTCAGACTGCAATGCTCAGGCCAGATAGTCTTTCCCACCCCTAGCAGGATCCTAGTCTTGTCGTTACCTTTGGATCACGACAGCATTTGTCTATGATCAAACTCTTAACTTACAGTTAAGAATCATGGCGCTTTGGCCTGGCCCATTTTGATGCCAGGGTAGCTCACCGCTTGCCCTGGGTCCATTCAGTTCCTCGTTGGGACCCTGCTTTTGGGGTGTTAGGAACTAAGGGCAACTGAGGCTAAGTCGAGAAAGCAGATGCCCGGGAGTGAATAATATTCATCGATTGCCTCGAGCAGGCCCCAGTAACGTCTCCTTCATCCTAGCCCTGAGATCATATTCAAGGCTCTTTAGGAGAATGAGACCCATCATTGTTACTGGTATTTGGCATATCTCCCGGACAAGAACAGTGCAGTCTGCCCCCGCCTGGCTGTTCCTCGCCGGGGCCCCTTGGAGGGGAGTGGGTTGAGATTTCCTCCCCGCCCCGACCAGGGCTCCAGCAGCCGCAGACCTCCAGGACCAGCCACCACCATGCTGAGACCACTCTCCGCACACATGAAGGTACTGGCAGAGGGACAAAGCCACGCGGGTTCCGGGGCCGAGCTCTCCCAGCCTACTCGGATTGGAGTCGAGCATCCTCCACCCAGATCCTCCAAATTCCAGTAGGTGGGGGTCACACCCACCAACTGGCCCCCTGGCGCAGTGTAATCCCATCAGCGGCCAAGACTCAGAGACTATAAAATTCAGCTCCCAGAACTGCGCGGCCGCTCGACATCTTATCAGGACATCTTTTTTATGACATCTTATTATCTCATTCCTACTTTGGACAAACTTGCAGGCTATCAAATGTAGCCTGCCCACAGGGCAGAGTCTGGCAAACTCCCCGTGGCGTACCCAATATGCCAAATACCAGTAACAATGATGGGTCTCTTTCTCCTAAAGAGCCTTGAATATAATCTCAGGGGTAGGATGAAAGAGACGTTACTGGGGCCTGCTCGAGGCAATCGAGGAATAACAGGATGATGAAATGAAATGAAATGAAATTTGGCATATTGGTTACACCAAGGGGAGTTTGCCAGACTCTGCCCTGTGGGCAGGCTACATTTGGTAACCTGCCAGTTTGTCCAAAGTAGGAATGAGATAATAAGATGTCATAATAAGATGTCGCCTGGCCGATCTGGGTGGAGGATGCTCGACTCCAGTCCGAGTAGGCTTGGAGATCTCGGCCCCGGAACCCGCGTGACTTTGTCCCTCTGCCAGTACCTTCATGTGTGCGGAGAGTGGTCTCAACATGGTGGTGGCTGGTCCTGGAGGTCTTCGTCTGCCGGAGCCCTGGTCGGGGCGGGGAGGAAAGCTCAACCCGCTCCCCTCCAAGGGGTCCCGGTGAGCGAGGACAGTCAGGCGCGGGGGCAGAAGACTGCGAATAATATTCAAAGCCAATCGAATCCTAAGTTACAAAGCATAATGTTAACGGTCTTCCTGTATCTATACAAAAAGGATATTACTTTAAGGTAAAATGTTCATAAGGCATAAGGAGAGGAGAAAAGCAATATTTCACTCATACACATAAAATCATAGATTTCTGGGAATCTGACCTTACAAATTAACAGAGTCCGATTAGGGGGAAAGCTGATTAACTGGGTGGGGAGGAGAGCACAGGGAAGACTGTTTACAGATAAACACAATGGAATGGAAGTGCCTCAGGAGCACTGTGATGGGTGTAACCAGATAAACCTAAGTTCCTAGTGGAAGAAGGACAAAGCAGTGTCACCCTACACCCGACAGACTGTGCTCTGGGGTCCTGGCCTCTCAGGGCCCTTCAGTGCTTCTCGTTAACTCCCGAGCACCTGCCCCCGCTTTTGTCCGACAGTGCTCGAGAGCCTGCGCTTATCCTTCCCAGCATGAATCAGAACTCGGGGCCGCTTTACAGTGGGAGGGTGTTTGCCTGGTACTCGGCTGACCCAGACTTGATCCCCGGCACCCCCGCACAGTCCCTGAGCCCGCCAGGAGTGATCCCTGAGAGCAAAGCCAGGAGTAAGCCCAGAGCACTGCGGGTGTGGCCCCAGAGGAAACACAAAAACCCCAAACCTCTTGCAGTTGCACTAATTTAGATCCAGAGGCTGGAGTAGCCCAAAATAGCTTTACATCCACCGGTCAGTCTGTCTGCTGTACCGCTGGGGGGACGGGAGGCACACCTGGGCCGCTTAGGGGCCACTTTCAGCTCCGTGCCGGGGGAGGCGGTCACTCCGGCAGTGCTTGGGGACCATGTGGTGCCCAGGATGCAGGAGGGGCCCCACCAAGGGCTGGACTCCAGCCCCCGTGTCTCCCTGGCTCTCCTCGCACACTTTTTAACTGATAAGGCCCGGATCACCGAAGCCTGTACCCTGCACAGGAGTCATAGGTCAGGTTCCATCAATGAAGGCGGAAGTGTAGACACTGCATCAGCCGCCGAAATATAAAAATGGCCTGTTGCTGGAGTTTGTGATTTAATAAAACATAAGTAGAGGTGCTTAGAGCCCGGGGACGATAATACAATAAACTCTAATGCCTCAGTATGGGAAAAACTGAAGTTTTCTCTTTCTAGGGAAGATACTCCGTGAACTGCAAAGCCTTATAAGTGACGACCCGGAAAGTTGGTTGGGTGCCCTTTCAATTTGGAAGGATCTCCTTGAAGCTGATGCAGAAGAAGAGAAACTTCCCCGTGGCCACGTCAACGCCCCGAAAAGGAAAGCGGGGCGCAGTGAGGACACGGGCGCTAAGAGACCGAGAGCAGAGGCGTGGCCGGCGCCAGCCGCGGGCCCGGACGACGATGACGGGCTGGCCCCCGCGCAGGTGGCCGGGCCGCAGGGGCAGCAGCGGGACCCCGCCAGGCCCGCGGGCGCCCCGGGGGGCCTCACCTTCCGCGTGTCCTGCCGCTGCAGCGGGGCTGTGGGCCAGGCGTGCACGGCGCAGGTGAGCCCGGCGGGTGGGCGCCCAGAGCACGTCCATCCCGCGGGCCTCTGTCCCTCCCCCTGCCCGGGACCCTCCTGGGCCACCCCGACCGGGGCGCGGCGCTGCAGAGCAGCTTCTCGGTGGGGACTGTCCCCGGGGGCTCCACGGGCCCGTGCGGGCGACCCCAGCGGGACCCTGAAACCCGCTCGCTGAGTCGTGAACCCGAGCCACCGCCACCTAGATGGCCCTTCCTCGGGCCCTGCCACTGTGCTCTGCCCTGCAAAGATAAGAACCGGGTGGCCCAACCCGGGCCAGTGCCCGCCCGGCACGGAGTGGGCGGGGTTTGGAGGGGCGGGGCTTGGTGCACAGAGTGGGGTGGGCGGGGTTTGAGGCAGAGTGGGCAGGGTTTGTTCACTTAGTGGGGGAATCTGGGCTGAGCCGGGCTGGCAGGAGTGGGCGGAGTTAGATGGGGTGGGCGGGGCTTGGTGCAAAGTGGGCGGGGATCAGCGCGGGGTGGGCGGGGTTTCGTTCACATAGTGGGGGAATCTGGGCTGAGCCGGACTGGCAGGAGTGGGCGGAGTTAGATGGGGTGGGCGGGGCTTGGTGCAAAGTGGGCGGGGATCAGTGCGGGGTGGGCGGGGTTTCGTTCACATAGTGGGGGAATCTGGGCTGAGCCGGACTGGCAGGAGTGGGCGGAGTTAGATGGGGTGGGCGGGGCTTGGTGCAAAGTGGGCGGGGATCAGTGCGGGGTGGGCGGGGTTTCGTTCACATAGTGGGGGAATCTGGGCTGAGCCGGGCTGGCAGGAGTGGGCGGAGTTAGATGGGGTGGGCGGGGCTTGATGCAGAGTGGGCGGGGATCAGTGTGGGGTGGGCGGGGCTTGGTGCAGACCTACAGTCCGGCCCTTGCCCACAACCCCTCGCCGTTTTCTGCCCTTTTCTGCTTCCCCTGTCTAACTGCAGCTTTTCCAGGAAGCGGGGCGAGTGCTGGGCGTGGCCCTGAAGAAGCGGTTCGGCTGGAAGGCGGACCTGCGGAGCCCAGGCGTGGAGGTAGGGGGCTGCAGGCCCGGGCCGGGCTGGGAGGGGGCTGGGGCGGCAGTGCCGGTGGCGGCTGGTGTGAGGCACGCAGCGTTTCCTCCCTCGGGAGCAGGCCGGTGCAGAGGGTTCTGCAGCCTCCCTGTGAAGGCGTCTCACCCACGTGGGTCGCTTGAGTGGGGCTGTTCCGGCAAAGCTGAGCCAGACCTTCCCGGGTGGCTGCAGTGCTCTGAGACAGCTGCAGAGAGGGCACTGCACCGGGCCAGGACCCGGCTGCTGGTTCCAACCGTGCTGCGAGATTCTGGACGGTGCTGGTTCTGGACTGTGCTGGCAGATTCAGGACTGTGCTGACAGATTCTGGATGGTGCTGGTCCTGGGCGGTGCTGGTAGATTCAGGGTGGTGCTGGTCCTGGGCGGTGCTGGTAGATTCAGGATGGTGCTGGTCCTGGACGGTGCTAGTAGTTCAGGACCCTGCTGGCAGATTCTGGCCAGTGCTGGTTCTGCATGTTGCTGATTCCGGACTGTGCTGGCAGAGGCTTTGTTGGGGTTGCGGGACTGTAGCTTTTCTCTGTTTTCAAAGTGAGTTGGATGAGATGACACTGGTTTTAATCAGAACAAAGTCAACACAGGCCTGGGACGCCAAATCCTGGCTTTTGAGGAGGCTCTTCACTGTGCCATCTCCTGCATTTGACCATTTGCGTCTCCTGCATTTGACCAGCAGTTTGGTCATTTGCATGATTCGCTCTTTTGTTCCTGAGTGGATTGGATGGTCTTCGAACTGTCGGTCGGATGGGAGGGGGCCCAGGAAGCTTGTCTGATGGCCCAGTGGAGTCACTCCAGAGCAGCAGCCACTCCTCCTGGCCTGAGTCCGAGCGAGCTGCTTATGTGAGGGTCGCCGTGGGGCTGAGTATCCGCGTCCAGGTACCAGCAGGACCCTGAAGCTCCTCGAGCCTCACAAGCCGGTGAAAATGACCTCTTCTGCCTCTGCTTCCCGCTGGAGGATTTGGCTCTTCCACCTGGGCGCCCGGCGGAGACCACCACGGGACAGAGGGGCTGCTGGGAGCCAGCCGGAGCGAAGGGCTCTGTCCCCCGAGGTCAGGCCCAGGGCGGGGTGGGGGTACACCACCACAAACCTGAGTGCCCCGCCCTGTTCCGATGGGGACCCCAGACCCACCTCAGAGCTTTCCATGAAATGAACCCGCCCCTCGCTCTGCTCAGAGAAGTGTGGCAGGCATGTGCAAGGACCGGGTCTGAGTCCTGACACGACACGTGGCAGCATGCGGCCTGAGCCCCCAGCACCCCTCCCTTCGCGGGCATCAAACTGCCAGGCTGAGTATTTGCAGCTAGGAAAATAAGCGCATCACGTTTCTCTCGAAGCTTTCGAGCAAGGCTTTGCGTTTGCGGACTTTCATCTTGTTGGAAACCGGTTGACGCATTTTCTGATCCACCTCCGACTTCTGTATTTGTTCTTTCAGATCTTCGTACATCTGAATGACATTTACTCCGTGGTGGGAATTCCTATTTTCCGGTAAGCACCATATCCCAAGCGTGAGGTGTGGGCATCAGAAGAGTTTGTAGGATGGTGAATGTTACACTCTTTGCAGGAGAAAATGGGAGGACAGAGAGAGCGACAGGCAAACAGCATTTGAGCAAGAAAAGTGATTGTCACTCAGTCACGAGCCCACGCAGTATTCCACTGCAGTCAGACCTGATCGCTGGATTCAGACCGAAAAGTGAATTAGATTATGCTAGTTTCAAATGATTGTCAACTGGTGCAAATTTAAGCGAAGATCTTTCATCTGTTGGAATGTAAAATTTTACTTAAAGTGGGAAACAACATCACAGTTCTTAAATTTCTTCTTCAGGTCTTATTCTAGGACTGTGGAAGAGTATCACTCCTTTTATTATTTGTTTATTTTGGCTTGATGACCACACCTGGCACTGCTCAGGTCTTACTCCTGGCTCTGTCCTGAGGGCTCACTCCTGGCGGGCTCAGGTGACCTGAGGGGTGCCAGAGATGGAACTAGCTTGGCCACGTGTAAAGCAAGCGACTTACCCTCTAAACTGTCTCTGCAGTCCAGGAGAGGGGGAGCCTGTGAGCCTGAGTCCGGGAGAGGAGGAAGGATGGAGCGTGGGCCTGAGTCTGGGAGAGGCGGGGAGGATAGAGCAGGTCCTGTCATCGGGAGCTGAGAGGCCGTGAGGATGTGCCTCCTCCAAACACCCGCATACCCTGTTTGCCTGGAGCTCTCTCTCCCTTGCAGCCGAGAACAGGAGGGTCGTGGGCCCTCCACGGGGTCCCTGCTTCACACGCTGGGCCTGGCCAGGCCGTGGCCTCACTGGCTGCACGCAGAGCACGTGAGACCGTGTGCTCGGGGTGACTCTGCTCAGTGACCGGGTGCTCGGGACTGGGTGCGCCTCCTCCCCGTCCTCCTGGGGCACCCACGGGCAGACCCTGGTCCCGGGGAGTCCGGCTCCCACCTTGCCAACAGTGGACGCTCTGGCCTTCTCCCTCGCAGGGCGCCGCTGGCCAGCAGGGCCTACATCCAGACAGCCGGACTGCGCTCCACTGTCGCCTGGGCGCTGGCCTCGCTCGCAGACATCCAGGCAAGGAGACCCCACCCCGCCCTGAGGGGACCCCCGGGGGCCTTCCCTCGCTTCCCTGCTCCCCTGGCGCCTTGTGCCCCTCCTGCTGCGTCTGCTCCCGGCACTTGGGCTCTGCTCGTGCTGAGACCTTCTGGCTGTGAAACTCCCAGGCTGGACGCTGCCCCGTGCGTGACCATTTCCGGCGCTTGGGGCCACGCAGCCTCTGCTTTGGGACTTGTCCCCACCTGGGTGGGTGAGTGGAAGGGCTCCGTCCGCGTGGGAAGCTGGGTCCTCGTCAGGAAGTGCCCACAGCAGCCTGGCTCGCTGCCCCGCCCCCTGCCCGCTGCTCAGAGGGGCTTTGGAACCGAGCTGAGCCTCGTGACCTCCGGCACTGTTCGTGGTGAGGGACGCGAGCCCCAGCCAGGGCGATTGTGGTCTCACCCCTCCCCCACCGCAAGGGTCCCCTCCCCAAGCCCCCGTCCCGCAGCGCTACCCAGTTCCTTAGACAAGCCCACGGCTCTGTCGCCCTTGGAGGTTCATGGCTCCCTGCCTGCCTTCACACCCTCCCATGTCTGTCTGTCCTCCTGGCTGATGACTCAGCACAGCACTCCCCAGCTCCACCCATGGGGCGGGACATTGCGTGACCTGTCTTTCCTCACGGCCTAGTAGTATTCCTTCATCTAGATGTACCATAGGTTGTATTTCCAGCCATCTGTCCCAGTACACTCGGGTTATTTCCGGACTTAGACGGGTGTGAATAGTGCTGTCAGGTCTGGGGGCTGCAAATGTCTTTCTAAATAGAATTTTTGGTCCCTTGGGGTCGACGCTAAGAAGTAGAATTGCTGGGTCAAATGGAAGCTCAAATCTTAGTTTTTTGAGAAGCGTCTGTGCAGCTGAAGACTCTCTGTGTTGTTGAGTGCGCGTGTTGTTTTCTAAGACAATGGGGCCAGTCGGGCCCCACCAGCAGTGAGTGAGGCTTCCTTTATCCCCGCTTCCATGCCGGCACTGGTTGTTTTTCTTCTCTGTGATGGTGTGTGGCTGTACTCATTGTTTTGATTCGTGTTTCCGGATGGTCAGTCATACAGAGCGATTTTCCATAAAACTTCGACCATCTGTATGTCTTCTTCAAGGAAGTTTCTGTTCATCTCTCCACCCATGCTTTCAGTGGGGTTCTTTCACTCTTATTACATCTTTACATAAGTTGGATATAAACCCTTAATCAACGCGTGATGGGCACATGCCCTCTCCCAGTCCTGGGGGGTTTCTGTTCCGACCCCCAGCTCCTGTGGTGTGGAGGCCTTGGCTTGGTACGGCCCTGGGCGTTCTCTTGATTCCGTATGTCTCCTCGAACGTGCCTCTGGAGTGGGCGTCATGAAGGGACGAAGGGACCCCTGTGCTTTCCTCGTTATACTTTAGGGATTCAGGTCTGATATCCAGGTCAGTTCCTTTTCTTCCCACTGGCCGGCTTTTCCAGCACCATTTGCTGAAAAGTCTTTCTGTACCCGACTTCAGGCTCTCTGTCCCTTATCTCTCTCCCAATCCCTGTCCCAGGCCCCTTCCTGTGCCCTCCAGTGCCGTGGGCGCATCTTGCGCATTCCTTGTTCTGGGCTTTTCTTCACCTTGACGAGGGAGTGTGAACTCGAATGTTCCCGTGTCCATCAATAATTGATATCATTAACCATCATTCACTGGTGAATATTAATTATATGGATTAAGGTTAAAGGGGCATTAATAGTAAATGCAGCTTCTTATTCCTCGCATTTTCCCAGCAGTTCTGGGCTGGCCATGCTCTGGGGATGGACAGCGGCCAACCCTGGTCCCATCTCTCGGGGCAAGAGCCAGGGTCGCTGCTGCCTGGCCTCACGGCCCCCTCACTGTCGATGACTCCCAACCTCTTTTCTCCTCCAGTTTCTGCTAATTGGGTTGACTTGTGACTGTCGTTTTCTGGTTCTCCCTGTGGAGGGGGTGTCCATGACGGGCTGCCCCACCGATATTCCCTCAGGGCCCCCTGAGCTTCGCGCCCCCTCCTCCTGGTGGACTTGTGTCTTCACGGGGCTTTCGACCCACCTGGCCTTCGGGGTTCTGGGGTGGCAGCAGGTGGCGCCAAGGTGACTCCATTCTTCCTGCCCGGGAGCCCGGGAGACTCTCCTAGAACCCTGGACAGGTCAGGCCCTGCCAGAGGTGCCTGGCTCTCGTGGAACCACCCGGACACATTGGGGGCACGCCTGACCTCAGACCATGCCAGCTTTCCGGGGGCCTGGTGTCCCTGGGTGGTTTCAGGGTCAGGGGGCCCTATGTCTTCCTGGCAGGCCAGCCTGAGAGTGGGCACACCTTTCCAGGGCCCCGTCCCCTCCCAGGGGTGGGCTCCACTTGTGTTTTGTCTCTCACTGCTGGGTCTCAGCGTCTGCAGATAAAATAGCCCTGTCTTGCCCAGCATTACTATACAAGCAGCAAGTGGGCAGCTGCCCCGTGAGGTTTTCCTTATTATTCGGAATGCACCCTAACTGTAAACCCGATGATGCCTCTCACCCGGGCACCACCCCCTCATCATTCACTCACTGCTGTCTCCTCCACGTTTTGCTAGTATTGCTCTCACCTTTTTTTGTATCATTGTGAGATACAGTTACAAAGCTTTCATGTTTTAGTGTTGGTCATACAATGGTGAAACACCTATCCCTTCACCAGTGCACATTCTCCACCACCAAAATCCCCAATGTCCCCCCCAACCCCCCGCCCAATCCCAACCCTTCCCCTGCCTGCGTGGCAGGCAATTTCCACAATATTCTCTCTCTGCTTTGATCGCATTCCATATTTCGACACCAGTCCCACCCTTATTACTTGGAATTTTCCCACCACCACTCAATCCTGCCAAAAAGACTACGCTAGAGAATGTTTCGTGTTGCTTGTTATGGATAGTATATAATGTGGTGTGGCCACAAGAGCGGCCGCACGCTTCTGGAATTCTAAAATTGTAATAATCAGGATCTGGAGAGATCTCTGCAGTGAGCTGCTCGGTTCCAAGATTCGTTTGTGTGTCTCTGGATCGTGGCCATTTAGGAGCTTACATAGCTGGGCGGTGTGTCATGGGCGTCATCTCAGAGTCCCATCGGGGCTCGGGGAAGGAGAAGGGCCGACTCCTCCCCTGTCCCATGAGTCCTGGTGTTTGCCGCTACTGTCCCCGCCCACCTTGGGGTTTCATTGAGTTCTGGAAGATGGCGGCCGCTGGGATTTCTAGGAGGCAGGTGGAGGGACAGCACGTGCGCCTGTCTGGAATAGCCCCATGAAAAGTGGCCGATTGCAAAGTCCGGTGGCATCTCTGCAGTGGAATTGCTCTAACCTTTCCAGGCTTCCTCTGTCTCTGCTTCCGAGGGTCCCGTTACAGACGCACCCAACTTCCTCCCAGCCCCGAGTTCCTTCCCAGACCACCCCCCCTCAACTGTGGACATGCTGAGCTGCCGGCCCATGTGGCCAGGCCCCTGACCACGCTTCGGTGCCTCCCTTCTCGGCCCCGCCAGTGGGTCACCTGCCTCCAAATGTGTGTGGGGCAGGTGCGTCCCTGTGGGGCGTTGCTTGGTTTCCACAACTGGCATCCGGATACCAAACCAGCATCTCTGCTTCCAGGCTGGGGCCTTTGTCCTGGACCCCATGTGTGGCCTTGGGACAATCCTTCTGGAAGCTGCCAAGGAGTGGCCGGTAAGTTGTCCAGGGGGACGTGCCCCGCGGTCTAATGCTCCCGTACGTAGGTGCTGATTTACCAGCTTCTTGTCCATCACCCGTCTGTTGGGGGTGGTCACGCCAAGCATGACTTGCTGTTTACTGTCATCGAAAGAGACCATGAAGGGCTGACCCGTGGTCTTGTTGTTTCTTAAACTACTATAACAAACTTAGGAAAATGTGAAAAACTTTCACAGTAATCATAATCCTAACCGGCCGTGCTGATCCCCCAAATTCTTTAGGCAGCTGTAATTGTGAAATATTAACAGGTTCGGATTTTGGCCATTGGATATCATTTTTGAAAAGTGCTGTGATTTGGGGACTTTCATTTTTATTTAGTTTTTGTCTTTTTGGTTCGGAGGGTCATACCCAGTGGTGCTCAGAGCGTGCACCTGGCGGGGCTTGGGGGACCACATGGGGCACCAGAGATTGTGCACGCACCCCGCTGTACCGTCCCTCCAACCTATGAATCTGTCGTAACCCAAGTCGGAGACGCTCGTTCTGTTTCTGCCGGTGGGTTTTCCCACCCCGAGGTCCCTCGGCGCATTGGGCTCCAGCGCAGTCAGGCCCCTTCTTCACAGGATGTGTATTACGTGGGTGCCGACGTCAGTGACAAGCAGTTACTCGGCGCCTCCGACAACCTGAGGGCCGCTGGCCTGGAGGACAAGGTAGAGCTCGTCCGAGTCTCCGTCACAGGTAAGGCGTCAGGACGGAGCACCGGGGAGACGGACAGACGGACATATAGCTGGGGTCATGCAGGCCCCGGCATGCTCTGAGTCGGGGTTCCGTGACAGGGTCTCTGTATTGAGGACCTCATGTTGAAGTTCCCTTATTAAGGTCTTGTGTCAAGGTCCTGTGTTGATGTCCCGTGTCAAGGTCCTGTGTCGAGGCTTTGTGTTGAGGTGGGGGCAGCGGCCCGCTATGTACTGTGACCGGGAATGAATCTGTCTGAACCTAAGAGAGACGCCCTCAGCCCAGGGTAGTTCCAGCATCCTCGGTGTCAGGCTACTCCCAAAGCCACACAATTGGGACCGGGGCCACCTCTGTCCCCAGCTGGGGCGGGACCTGCCTCTCAGCTGCCCGCGCTCTTGGGACCCCTCCCGGCCTGCAGCGTGAGCTGCACTGGGCCAGCGGCTGTCCCCTGTGATGCCTGTGCCTTGTGGCACGGTGGGGGGGGGGGGGGGGCTTCCCCAACCACACTGTGCTGAGCTGGAGTTTCAGAGCCAGCCCAGGGCAAGTCCAGGTGAGCTGAGCCCCTGCTGGCCGTGTGGAGGTGGCCCGCTCCAGGGTGACCAGTGGTGGGGGACCAGGAGCCACGCTGCTCCAGTCCAGGCTCCCTCCGGGCAGGGAGACAAACAGTGTCTGGGCGGGAGCACACGTATGGCCGCAGCTCCAGGATCACAGTGTGCCAGAGGGACAGTGACCACACAGGGTGCCCGGGGTCTCACCCACGCAGGAGGAGGCTGCTTCCACCTGGCTCTGGAACAGCGTCCAAGGCCGCCAGTACAGTGGCCAGGGCACTCGCCTTGCGTGTGGCCAACCTGGGTTTAGTTCCTGGCACCACGTCGGGTGCCCTGAATACCTTCCAGGAGTGACCCCTGAGGACTCCCAGGTGTGCCCAGCCGCCACCTCCCTCCTGTCTCCTCTCCAGCCGTCGGGTGAGAGGGAGGGGCTGGATAGACTTTCCTGAACTGCAGGACATTTGCTTTTGCTCTTCCGTCTCCGGCCATCAGAATTTTGCTGTGTGAATTAATAAGAATGGTTTTGGTCTGCCCATCCCTGCCAAGTCCTGTCTATGTGTCCACGTGCAGCTGGGCTTGCACTGGAGGGGGGCAAGAGGGAAGCCGGCAACAGGGTCCCGGGGGGCCCTGATTGCTGAGAAGAGTCTGGAGAGGAAGAAAGAAGAGGCATCAGACCTGTCACCAAGCCCAGTTCTGCGGGTGACAACTGAGCCTGCAGTCTGGCCCCCACTCGGCCCCTCAGAGCAGATGTACATGCGCAGTCGTGTGTGTGTGTGTGTGTGTGTGTGTGTGTGTGTGTGTGTGTGTGTGCGTGCACGTGCGCATGGCAGGGCAGCGTGAGTGAAGGGCAGTCCTGGGGACGCTGTCCACGTGCAGGACCTCCCTTCTTCACTCTGGCCACTTGCCTTCCGCCCTCTTCTGGACCTGACATGTCCCCTTAGGTCCAGAGCTTCTCTTTGTCCCCAGCTGACCTGCGAATCCTCTCGGGACCTCGTCCTTCCCGGGAAGCAGCACCCACGCCCATAAAGCAGACTCGGGGTGCAACCGGAAGGCGCGTGGGTCAGCGCCGCGTCTCTGGCCTGTTTCAGAGCTGCCATGGCCGTCAGAGAGTGTCGACGCCGTGATCTCTGACGTTCCCTTCGGGAAGAAGTTCAGGCTGGGCAGGGACTTCAGGAGCGTGCTGCAGGAAATGCAGAGGTGAGGCGGCTTTGCTCCGAGAGCTTCGGTCTCGGGCCCCTTTCTCGGGGTGTGGGCACGCAGGGAGCCCCCTCCTTGGGAGGGTCAGTCCTCGTGGACCCCAGCACTGGCCACAGGGCCCGCCAGGGGTGCCTGGAGGTGCACGTCCCATACCGGAGTATGCAGAGCTCTTGGGGAATGCAGGGAGAGGGGGTGTGTGAGCAGCAGTGACCCCAGGGCCGCGGCCCACTGTAGGGACCCCCTTGGCGGGTACAGATGCCTATTGTGTCCCGTGACATGGGCTCACCTGGTCATTGCATGCTGTAGCTGTGAGGCCCGGGGTCACTTGGAGCCATGGGGCATCGGGTCTTGGCTTGACTGTAGCTGGGAAGCAGGGGACGTGGGGTCACATTGTGCCCTCATGAGCAAGGGACAACCACTGATAGTCCCATATGTTGCTTCTACAAGGAGCAAAGTCTGCATGTCCCTGACAGCCCCCGAGTGTCCCTGTCACAGCCCCCGAGTGTCCCTGACACACAGAGCCCCCGAGTGTCCCTTACCTAGACCCTGAGTGTCCCTAACACACACAACCCACGAGTGTCCCTGACACATACAGCCCCCCAGTGTCCCTTACCTAGACCCCGAGTCTCCCTGGCACGCGACTCCCTGTGCAGGCCCAGCCCTGTCTCCGAACTGCAGCCCTGGTTTTTTGCCCCATGGGAGCCCTCCCGTGGGAGCCCTTTCTGGGGACTGAGCTCAGGCCAGCCGTGGGAGTCAGTGGGCACCCTGCGAGCTGATGGGTAGTGCTTGCTTTCAGACCTCATGTGGTGTGTGGGTGCTCAGTGTCCTTCCCTGGAGCGAGACCAGCAGCCATCAGTGCTGTGCGCTGCCCCTGTCACCAGGCTCCACCTGCCTTCTGCCCTCCTGCCTGCCTACCAGCCCTGGGTCCCAGTGCAACATTCCACACCACCCCAGGGCTCCCCAGGGTACCCCCGTGGTCCCCTGCACTGTCCCTGCGTCTTCACCTGCTCCCAGCCTAGGCTCAGTCTCCCTGTGTCTCCCCCGGGTCCAGGCAGTCTTGGGGTGTCCCCAGGTGCCTGCCTTGCCCAGGCCCTTGCGGGTGGCACAACCTGAGTTTGGGAGGCTGGTGATGGGAACACGGTGTCCTGTGTGCAGACAGGTGCCAGGTGAACCCGCAGTCTCCCTCACGGGGCTCTGCTCTGTGGGAAGCTGGAGACTCGATTGTCACTGCCTCCACAGGGTCCTTCGAGTCGGCGGGACCCTCGTACTGCTACTCAGTGAAGACCTCCAGGGACACCTCAGCGGCTGGAACAAGGGCAGCACCGCACTGTCCCCTGGAGCAGGACCTGCAGACAAGCATGGACCAGCAGTGCACTCAGTGCCTGGGGCACAGATGGAGCCAGACACAGAGCGGACAGGGGTGGGAGCGGTCAGCACAGAGCCACCTCCTGGGGGCGTGGTCTGCGGGGAGGGCGTGGCCAGGACAGAGCCAGCTCCTGGGGGCGTGGCCTGCAGGGAGGGCGTGGCCAGGTCAGAGCCAGCTCCTGGGGGCGTGGCCTGCAGGGATGGAGTGGCCAGGACAGAGCCACCTCCTGGGGGCGTGGTCTGCGGGGAGGGCGTGGCCAGGACTGAGCCACCTCCTGGGGGCGTGGTCTGCGGGGAGGGCGTGGCCAGGACAGAGCCACCTCCTGGGGGCGTGGTCTGCGGGGAGGGCGTGGCCAGGACTGAGCCACCTCCTGGGGGCGTGGTCTGCGGGGAGGGCGTGGCCAGGACAGAGCCACCTCCTGGGGGCGTGGTCTGCGGGGAGGGCGTGGCCAGGACTGAGCCACCTCCTGGGGGCGTGGTCTGCGGGGAGGGCGTGGCCAGGACAGAGCCACCTCCTGGGGGCGTGGTCTGCGGGGAGGGCGTGGCCAGGACAGAGCCACCTCCTGGGGGCGTGGTCTGCGGGGAGGGCGTGGCCAGGACAGAGCCACCTCCTGGGGGCGTGGTCTGCGGGGAGGGCGTGGCCAGGACAGAGCCACCTCCTGGGGGCGTGGTCTGCGGGGAGGGCGTGGCCAGGACAGAGCCACCTCCTGGGGGCGTGGTCTGCAGGGAGGGCGTGGCCAGGACAGAGCCACCTCCTGGGGGCGTGGTCTGCAGGGAGGGCGTGGCCAGGACAGAGCCACCTCCTGGGGGCGTGGCCTGCGGGAAGGACACCGCCCTGGCGCTGCCCCTCGTGGGCTCTTTGATTCTGGTGGAGCAGTTTCTTGTGAGCCTGGGCAAGACCGAGGCCTTCCTGTGCAAGTACAAGAAGGGCCCCCAGCTGGGACCCCTGCCCGTGAGCCGTGGAAGAGGATGTCTGGACAGTGTCGGGGACCCAGGTCCACAGATGACCCCACAGGCCTGAGACCAGGCGAGTGTCCAGGTTCCCTCCCTGGGCGCTGGTCTCTGCTTCGTGCCCGGGAGCCGTGACGGGTTGGTGGGTCCACGCAGGCAGGACCCCTGACCAGCTGGGCACGGGGGCTACTCTGGCTCCCTTTTTGCTAGGGCTCCGGCCGCGCCTGGTGGTGCCCAGTGGTGCTAGGTCCAGCCTGGTCTCCCACAGGAGGCCTCTCCCGGACCCCGGCTATGGTGTTTGGGCGTGTCCAGCAGCTTGTGGAAAGCGGATGTCCGCTTCCTAGCAGGATTGAAACTCAGGGATTGTGATGCAGAAACCACTGTGTTCCCTCTGCCGATATTAAACTTGGTGTTGGAACCTGCAATTTTCTTCTCCGTTGGAATGGAAACGGCTTTTATTCGTGTGCTTGTTTTACACGATCCGTGTTATGTAAAACCTGAAAGCAGCTCTGAAGGGCAGTACCGGTTCGGCCCCCAACTCGAGGGCGCTGAGGAGGAGAGAGCGAAAGAACACGAAGGAAATGCCTGGAGTTTCATCCTTCCTGACCCCTGCCGAGGACACTGCCCTGCCCAGACTGTTCCCAGACACCAAGGGCGCTGCAGGTCTCCTCTTTTTTTTATTTTATTTTATTTATTTATTTTTTGCTTTTTGGGTTACACCCGGCGATGCACAGGAGTTACTCCTGGCTCATGCACTCAGGAATTACTCTTGGCAGTGCTCAGGGGACCATATGGGATGCTGGGAATCGAACCCGGGTCAGCCGCGTACAAAGGCAAACGCCCTCCCCGCTGTGCTATCTCTCCAGCCCCTGCAGGTCTCCTCTTTTGGATGGCTTTTTGTTTGTTTTTTTTGTTTTTCTTTTCTCTGGGCCACACCTGGTGATGTGCAGGGCTTACTCCTGGCTCTGCGCTCAGGAATTACTCCTGTTGGTGCTCGGGGATCATCTGGGACTCGGAATCAGACCTGGACCAGCCGCGTGCAAGGCAAACAGCCTCCGCTGTCTTCACTCTGCCCTCTGGTGGATGAATTTCTTTTTCTCCTACCTTTTTCTTAAAAAAAAAAAAAAGCCGTTTTCCAGAGAGGGAAGCGTGGAGCCACACCTGGCAGTGCTGAGGCCACTCCTGGCTCTGTGCTCAGGACCACATGCAGTGTCGGGGATGACCTGAGCTCCCCTGAAGCAGTCACGTGCGGGGCAGGTGCTTGTTCCTGCACTGACTCCCCGACCCGCTGTAATGAGAGAACTTGACCTCGGGCCGGAAACCTGCTTGTGTGGCTGCAATGACCCCGGGAACCAGGGCCGGTCATGACTCTGTTGTGGTTTGGGGGCCACGCCCCTCTGTGCTCAGGGCTCTGCACCAGGGATCACTCCAGGTGGGGCTGGGGGTCGTGGGGGGGGCGGGGAGCCGCACACAAGGCCTGCATCCTGCCTGCTCTAGCACCGCTCTGACCGGGACTTCCCTTCCTCGGAGAGCGAGCCCTCGGTCCCTCGGGGAGCCGCTAGAACAAGGTGTGGGACCTGACCCATCCACGCTCCCTGTGGCTGCCGGGACAGCCCGAGCTCCTTCAGGGCTGAGCTGGCTTTGGTGGGGCAGGCGCTGAGACACCTGGCCAGCACCCACACTTTCCCCGCTGCCCCCTGCCCGGGTTCCGCAAGCAGGACCTTGGGAAGCAAAGAGCCCCCGTCTAGAGGAAACCCTTTGATTTCCCCCCCAAGGCACAAAAGGTCGAGGTTCCGAGCATCCCCCACCGGGCTTGGGAGCAAGAGGCAGGAAGTTGATGAAATTTGAGGCCCTTCAGCAGCGCTGCCTGTTCTGTGCAGACCCTCTTCCTGGGCTGGTGCAGTTACCTCCCGCTGCAGCACTCAGCTATCAGGTGGGGATGGGTGCAGGCCGGGTGCGGGGACACAGGGACGGGCTTTGTGCCCAAGAGCACACCCTGTGGGCTGGGTCCCGCTCCGGCTGCTCAGGGGGTGGGCATGGTGCGAGCGGGCTCCATGCTGAGAGGCGGGTACGAGTGGAAGGGGTGCAGGGGCAGCAGCGGGCGAGCTGGGGGTGGGACCAAGCACACCCAGTGGTGTTCAGGGCTCCTGGCTCTGTGCTCGGAGCTCCTTCCCGGCGGTGCTGGGGGGCCGTGTGAGATGCGGAGGATCAAGCCGGAACCGGGTGTGAACGGAACCACCTGCCCTCTGCACCCTCCCCGTCGCCCCTGGAGCTCACCATCAGGGGCTGCGACCAGCGGCTCACGAACAGGGGACCCCAGGCCAAGGTGGCCGGAGGGGGGGGGGGGACACACAGAGGGGACAGTGGCGACGTGCATAGACGGCAGGATGGGGGCCTGGGCGGGCGGGGGCCGGCGAGGCCGAGCTGGCCGTGGGCGTGCCGGGAACTCGGCCCTTTCCCGAGGCGGCAGCGCCTTCCTTCCTGGCGGGCGTGGGAACAGCCTCGCCCTGGGCACGCCACTGCGCTCCCGGGCCCGCCCGGATCCGTCCACCCTGGCGGGGAGGGATGGTGGGGCTGCAGCCCGTTACCTGACGGGGGGAGAAGGTCCTGGCTCAGGCCGCTGCTCCCCCCACCCCCCACCCCACGGGTGTGCAGAGGATGCCCCCAGGGTCGCAGCCTGGACGCTCCCTGCGGAGCCGCGTGTGGTGCCCACCCGCGCCCCTAGATGGCGCTGTCCCATCTCCCAAGCCAGGCGCGGAGGGCAGGGCTCCGGTTGCCATAGCAATGCGGGCTGGACCATCCCCAAGGATGCTTCCCAGCTCCTGCCTCTGCCACCTGTTGCCTTCCCGGTCCTCCACCTCCCCAGGCCTGTCCTCCCCGCCAGGCTGGCAGGCGCTGCCCACCTGGGGATCTGACAGTGGGAACGCACCCACCTGCCTGGCCAGGCGCCCGGTGGAGTGGACACGAGCCGGACACAGTGAGCCACAGAGCACGGCGATGGTCACTAGGCTCAACCCCGCGGACCCCACGCCCCTGCTCCTCCTCCTCTGCTCAGGCGGCCCCAGGCCCCGTGCACGCAGCACCCTTGGCTCCGGTCATGGAGACTCGCCTCACAGGAGCCCGGCTGCCCACGGGTCTGTGTTCCGGGCACCGTCCTCACCCCACTGCCCACGCGTGGGTCTCCTGGAGGAATGCTCTGCCTGGTCTGGCAGCAGGGTCGCGGACCAGAGGGCACGGGGTTCAGAAAGCATCTTGAGCTTCCATCGTGGGCTCAGGAAATCATTTGGGCTCCAGAGAGCGACTCGAGGTCTTTGCTTCCCTGGCACAAGTGACCCAGGGGCAAGAGCCCAGGTTTGGCTTCCCTGCTGCCCCCGGGGTCTGGAAGAGCCTGAAACCACCTAGGATTACCTAGAATAATCTAGAACAATCTAATAGTCTAGAAGAGTGTTGAGCCACCTAGAATAGTCTAGAACCATCCAGAAGCACCTGGAACAGTGCAGGTGTTCAGGAGGAAGCCTTCAGGAGGGTGGAGACGATTCTGATGCCAAGATTCTTCCCTGCAGACATTCCAACTTGCCTGACTCTGATAGGGGCACATCCCGGGGGGTGCGGCTACGGTTCTGTGTGTGTCCCTGTGTGTATCTGTGTGTGTGTCTGTGTGTCTGTATGTTTGTGTCTCTGTTTGTCTCTGTGTGTCTGTGTTTCTATATGTGTGTCTGTTTATGTGTGTGTGTGTCTGTATGTGACTCTGTGTGTGTCTCTGTGTGTGTCTTTATGTGTGTCTATATATGTGTGTGTGTGGCTGCCCCCAGGGACCAATGAGAAACTGCCAACCCATGAGGAGATCCAGGAAATGGTCTGTGGGGTCTTCAGATGCAGCCAGGGGTTGTGTCCCCACTGAGACTCAAGAGAGGCAGCCGGCTACCAAGGGACAGTCATTTAATGCAGAGACACACGGAGGAGGGGACAGGGTGGGGGGCAGCCCTACGCCCACCCCGTGGACCCACAGTTCTCAGCGTGACAGCCAGGAGACGTCCATTACAAAAATAAATACGGGCCTGGAAGGAGCATCCTCCTGGTCCAAGGGAGTGCCACGGGAAACACAGACACCTGCTGTGGCAGGACAGACACGACTGAACGGTCCTACGGGCAGGCCATGGCAAGGCGGGAGCGGCGAGGACAGGACGCGGGCTGCGGGGGCGCTGGCCTCCCGGGAGGGGTATGTACAGACCTCGAGACCAACGCCCGCCAGACGCCGCCGCGCTAGCCGTCCTGCCCGGAAGGAAGTCAACACGTCAGTCTTTAAAGCACTTGAACCCACAGCCATCGAGTCCACGGGGCGCAGGCGGGGCCATGTCTGGTTCTCGGTCATCCGGGAGGGCAGCGGGCACCAGGGTCGGGGCCGTTGTGCGTGGGGTCCCGTCCAGAGCTGGGCTGCGCCCGCGGGGAGCCAGTCAGACAGACGAGTCCCGGCCCACCTTGAGGTGAGCAAGCTTGGTCCGGCTGAAGAAGGGGTAGGCGATGCAGAGCCCGCCGGCCGCCACGATGAAGGCCAGGCTGCACCAGGCGCAGAACACTGACCAGCTGTAGCCATGCTCCACGTCCGCCGGGAGGCTGTACAGCAGCTGGGGCGGCCGCTGCAGCTCGTAGGAGACGCTGGCCGCGTAGGTGCAGAGCGAGATGGTGCAGAAGATCCCTGGGGGTGGGAGTGAGGCACAAGTCGTCACGCGGCGCCCACCCACCCGGGCTCACGCGCTGATCCCCGAGCGTCACAGGGTGGCCACCTACCTGCCCGGGCACATGGACCCCTGCACCCCGACCTCCGCTCTCAGCCAGTACCAGGTGGATGGATCTTCGTCTGGACACATGCACATGCACACCACACGCGTGCACACACACACACATGCCCGTGCACACACGCACACTCAGGAACACGCACAAGCGCACACGCACACACACAGAGTGGGCAGACCCAGGCTGGAGCCACTTCAGGGAGACTCCCTGAGGACGCCTCTGTCCTTAACTCTGAGAGGGCACTGGAGAGGCCTCGGCTTTTGCAAAGGTCATGACCCTGCAAAGGTCGCGCCCCATAAAGGTCACCCCACAGAGGACACCTCTCGTGGTCCCGCTCCGCACCGGCCCAGGCTCCACAGACAGTCGCATCCGGTGAGGGAGCCCCGGAGGAGGCCCTCGTGCGGCCCCTGGGCACCCACAGTACCCGGGTGGGGCTGGGAGGGGGTCGCAGCCCTCAGCTATGCACGTTGCACGTGCCTGCATACGTGTGAGGGTGCCAGCACGCAAAACCAGGAGCGGGAAGCAACAGGGTCCAAGGGGTCCGTGGCGGGAGGGGAGACCCTCACGGCTGCTGACAGCCCGCGAGCGAGAGCTAAGGAGGGGGTTGGCCTGCAGGACTCGGTGCTCAGCCGGGATTGTGCAGTGACAAATGTCTATGTGCTGGGCCCGAGCCCCAGCAACCCTTGCCACCAGGAACCGTTGAGTTAATATGAACCAAGGCTGCCCTTGCAATGGGCACAGCGGGTATCTGCATGGCCTGCGACTTGGGCACCCCCTGCGTGTCCCGGGGCGCCCGCCCGCCCTGCCAATGGCCTCTGGCAGTGCCCCGCGTGAGCCCTGTGCATGGCCGGGGACCTTGCTGCATGCATACTTGTGTGTGTGTGTTCATGTATGTGCTGACATGGATGCCTGCGTGTGCTTGTATGTGTATGTGTGTCTGCATGCATCTGCACACATGCCTGCCTACCTGTGTGCACATGTGTCTGCATGCATATCTACATGTGTGTGCATACGTGTGTGCGGGGCCCCGGGGCACCTCACCTGTCATGAGGAAGAGCAGCCCGGCCACGTGCTGCGTGAGGCTCTCCTCCCAGAAGAAGCTGACGGCGGCCACGATGCAGCCACAGAGCAGGACGGCCACGGCCATGCCCAGGAAGCCGGCGGTGATCCTGCGTAGGTCTGGGGGAGGGGGGGAGGGGAGTCAGTGGCCAGGGGCGGGCGTCCAGTCTCCCTCAGCCCACGGCAGCAGATGGGGCCTCGGCACGGAGGGTGGACAACAGGCTGCCTACGGGTCTCTGCCTGGCTGCGGTAAGTCCTCGGGGCCTCCTTCCAGGCCTGTGCGCCGCCATGGGCCCTGCCAGGTGGGCTGGGGAGGCCCAGGTGGGGGCCAGGTGTGAGCCTCCAAATCTGGGTCCAGGATTGATCTCTGGGAGGGTCTGTCCTGGGCCCACTCTGCCCAGGTCCACTGCAGATCTGGACGCCCCTCCCCACGTGGGCGAGGGCAGTGCTGTACCCGGACTCCGCCCTGCAAACACCACCTCCAGGGAGTGCCATCACCTCCGTGATACGCCCCCTTCTCTAGTTCCTTCCTTCACTTTCACCGTGTTTTCCTTTGGTTTGGGGCCACACGAGTGCTCGGCAGGGACAGGGCCAGGCCTCTCACCATCTGAACTCTCCCCACCCTGTTTCCTTCCTCTTTGGGCATGAAGCAGAGCTCGGGCTCATGATGCCGAGGCTGGTGAGTGCTGAGGGTGCCAAGCGCCCAGAACTGCGAGTGCTCTGCTCCTGGTCCTGGGACTGTCCAGGAGCTGCCCAGACGCGCACTTGGTGGCCCTGCCCCTGGCCTGCGGGTCCATCCCACTGCCTCTCCCGGCAGAGATCCACGCCCAAGGAGCCTGGGTCTGAGGGTGCATCTCGGCCCCCCCAGACTTGGGGGTCAGCAAGCCCCCTGCCCCTCAGGCCCCGCCCGGGATACTCACGGAGCAGGTGCCACTCGTCCTGCTGGATGGTCTTGGTCAGGTTGAAGGGGACGTTGCGCAGGCGGATGGGCTGGGAGAAGTGGTACTTGATGGCCGTGCACCTCTGCGCGATGCCTGTGGGACAGGGGCGGGGGGGGGCGTGAATAATTCCTTGCGCCCGCGGACAGGAGCAAGCCAGAGCAGGGCAGCTTGACGGCACGGACCCCGCCTCGGACCCCGGCTCCCACAGTCTGGGAAGGTGGCCTGCAGGAGCGCCGGCTACACCTGTCTGCCAAGTTCCCCGCAGGAAGGTGGCCCAGTGGCTTCCCAGGTGCGGGCAGGGGACACGGGTCTCTGAAGGAAGGCGGGGGTGGGGGGGCTCAGGAAATCATCTCTGAGAAAGGCACTTCCCTGGGCGGCCGCACTGGAGATGGGGCCTCACTGGCCTCCCGCACGGTGAGGGTCACATCACGAGCCCTGCTGGTCCTCAGGGGACCAGATGCAGTGCCGGAATGCAGCTGGGCTTGGCTGCGTGCAAGTCAAAGGCCCTAAGCTCTGGGCTATCTCTCACCCCGTCCTTGGTTTGGGGGAGGTTCAGTCCACACCTGCTGTGCTCAGGGCTGACTCCTGGCTCTGTGCTCAGGGTTCACTCTCGGCTCTGTGCTCGGGGCTCCCTCCCAGCTCTGTGCTCAGGGCTGACTCCCGGCTCTGTGCTCAGGGCTCACTCCTGGCTCTGTGGTCAGGGCTGACTCTCGGCTCTGTGCTCGGGGCTCAATCCCGGCTCTGTGCTCAGGGCTCACTCCCGGCTCTGAGCTCGGGGCTCACTCCTGGCTCTGTGCTCAGGGCTGACTCCTGGCTCTGTGCTCAGAGCTCACTCCCGGCTCTGTGCTCAGGGCTCACTCCTGGCTCTGTGGTCAGGGCTGACTCCTGGCTCTGTGCTCAGGGTTCACTCTCGGCTCTGTGTTCGGGACTCCCTCCCAGCTCTGTGCTCAGGGCTCACTCCCGGCTCTGTGCTCGGGGCTCACTCCTGGCTCTGTGCTCGGGGCTGACTCCCAGCTCTGTGCTCGGGGCTGACTCCCAGCTCTGTGCTCAGGGCTGAATCGCCCCACCACAGAGACTCTGAACCAAGACATTTGGGTGCAGCCAGGAAACTCATTTTTTATTTTTATATTTTTGTCGCTCCTCAAGGTAGTTTTCACTGCACAAAATGTGCTTGGAAAGATATGAAGGGAAAGAGGAAATGTGTCCCAGAGGGAACCTGGCTTCCCCAGAGCGGGAGAAGCAAAGAGACAAGCAAGCAGGTCCATGTTCAAGGGGGCCGCGGGCTGCCCCAGGCAGGCAGCCTCTCTCCCTGGACGCCCACTTGCACCACCAATGCACCAACACCCACGCCCTTCTCTGCCCTTGGAACAAGGCCTCGTCTTCGCAGGGCTTTCTACAAGCTTAAATCCCTTTTTTCTCTCTCTTCGGCATTCGGCATGGCCTGGGGCCGCACTTGTGAGGTCTGAGCTACCAGAATTAGGCTGTGTCAGGGTCTCAGAGGGCGAGCAGTCGGGTGGGACCTTCTTGGGCGAAGGACAGCCCTTAGCTGACCAGCGCATTCTCCAAGGCCAGCATGACACGCGACAGTCGCCGTCTGGGAGGCCTTGAGCTGTGTGTATGCGGTGAAGGGGGAACAGCACCCGGCGTGCACACACACACACACACGCACATGCACACACACACACACATACACACACGCGCCCACACAAGCACACGCACACATGCACACACATACACATGCGTGCACGCAGCCTCCGGGTGGCTACGGCCTTTCTGCCATCACCGACCTCCCGGGAAGCCGCGGCTGGACACAGAAGAGAGACATCACGGGAACCACTAAAGCGGCAGCAGCAACAGAAGCAAACTCTGCCTCCCTGGCGCCATCATGGGGGATCACATAAGCGCCTGGTTTTCGACCAAAGACAGAGAAAAAGGTACAAAACCTGCTTACAACAAGAACATATGGGAGGCATGGACAGAAACTAGCCAGGAGAAGTCCCTGACTGCCCCCCAGGAGCCAAGCCCTGGACTCACCGTCTCCCTCAGTTCTTAGTCAAAGAACTAAGGAAAACACTGTCCGAAGAGCAGTGGGCAGTCTGGAAGGGCCCCTCAGCAGAGGGTCAGCAGAGCCACGGAAAGCACGAGAATAAGAACAGGGAAGGCCAAGAGCAATTAGAACTAACAATCTTTCATAAATTTCCCCCACCAAAAAAATTAAAGACAGACACAATTCCCAAATCCATCATGGGAGACGTGTATTATCCTGGTGATACAAAAGCCACACAAGAAAAGAATAAAGTAATCCTAGTGAGTGTGGGTGAAAAACTCTTCAGGAGTCGTGACAAAAAGAATCCCGTGACATGTGAAAAGGATGAGAGACTCCGCAGGTGGGGCTGGCATCGGGAACCAGGACTGGTTCGGGCAGACAAGCCCACTGATGTCCAATACCGATCACTAGGAAAAGGCCCAGAACCGCATGATTGTCTCAGACTGACAGAAAGCTCCCCGCTCCGGCCGCCGGCCAGCCGCCCCCTGGCAGCCTGCGTGGAGGAGAGGGAACGTTCCGGGCCTCAGCGAGTTCAGGGAGTACAAGAGAGCTCGGGCCCAGACTTTGTGAAATGAAAAATCCCAGAGAAGGACTCAAAAGAACTGTGAGCCAGCAGAAGGAATAACTGGCAAACTTGAATGTAGGGTGGGTGGGGTGTGCCGCCCGCGGGAGTGAGGAAGAGGAAGAGGCACAGAGCAGAGCGCCCCACAGTGACACCAGCACCGGCCAGCAGAGGCGGGGGAGGGATCCCAGGGAAGGAGGTGAAGAACATGGGAAGGAATCGTGGCCCAAAGTGTCCCCAGCTTGATGAAGAACTAACTCAGGGCGACATATCTAAGAAGTCTGGTCATTATCCTAATGAGGATAAACTTGGGCTGAAATAAAGCAACAGCAGCTAAATATTCGGGAAAAGGCAAAGCACGTGGCAAAGACCACAACACAAGTCACTGTCACTGTCCTCCCGTTGTTCATCGATTTGCTCGAGCAGACCCAGTAACGTCTCCATCGTGAGACTTGTTACTGTGTTTGGCATATCGAATACGTCACGGGGAGCTTGCCAGGCTCTGCCGTGCGGGTGAGATCCTCTCGGTAGCTTGCCGGGCTATCCGAGGGGGGCGGAGGAATCAAACTCGGGTCGGCCACGTCGGCGGCGTGCAAGGCAAGCGCCCTGCCGCTGTGCTATCGCTCCAGCCCCACAACACAAGTGAACATTCAAAATGTAAGTGTACTTTTGTTGCAACCTTTTTGCCGACCTGATTTAAATGGTCGTATAAATTGATGGACACACAACATGACTTGTGGCTGACGAAAAGACAAAGGAGAGGGGATGGAGTTACACAGGAGCAAACTTTGTATTAAATTCAGTTGGCAGGCGAAAGTAGACTATAGATCGAACACGATGGCCACTCAATGCCTCTATCGCAAACCACAACATCCAAAAGGAGAGAGAGAGCAAAAGGGAATGCCCTGCCACAGAGGAGGGGTGGTGGGGCAGTGTGGGGGGTGATGGGAGAGATACTGGGATCGTTGGTGGTGGAGAACGGGCACTGGTGGAGGGATGGGCCCTTGATCATTGTATGACTGGAACGCAAGCACGAAAGCTTGTAAGTCTGTAAATGGACTTCACAGTGATTTACTAATAAAAATTTTTAAAAAAATAAAATCACAATCACGATCATCCTGTTGTTGGTCGATTTCCTCGAACAGGCACCAGTAACGTCTCCTTCTTCCTAGCCCTGAGATTTTAAAAGAGCCATTTCAATGCTCTTTCCGGATTAGGAGAATGAGACCCATCATTGTTACTGGTATTTGGCATATTGAGTACGACACGGGAAGTTTGCCAGACTCTGCCGTGCGGGCAGGATACTTTTGGTAAAAAAAATAAAATAAAATAAATTCAGTTGGCATGAATCTCAACTGAAGCGCTGTAAGTTAAGATGTTAATTAAGTTACAGCGCTTCAGTTGAGATTAACTTAACTTAATTAAGTTAACATTAACTTAATGTTAATTAATTAATTACATTAAGAGAGATGATTTATACCCATCTATCTATACACATACATAATAAGCACTATAGCACTGTCCTCCTGTTGTTCATTGATTTCCTCGAGCGGACACCAGTAACGTCTCCATTTTGAGACTCCTTGTTACTGTTTTTGGATTATCGAATACGCCACAGGGAGCTTGCCAGGCTCTGCCATGATACATAATAAATAAAGGGAAAATAAAATTCAAAAGCTAGGCTAAAAACAGTCATTTAGTGTGAAAGAAGACACTAGGAGAAGAATAAAGGCACAAAACTCATGGAAAACGAGTAAAAATGGCTGGTGTCCATCTATTTTATAAGGAGTTGCTTTAAATGCAAATATCAATGCTCCAATCGAAAGGTTGAGAGTCACCTCAGAGACATAAAACATGACCCGACTACAAGGGTTCACAAGGGACACTGTAACTCCCAACAGTAGGTCGGAAGTTAGGTGACATATCAACAAAGCAAGACAACAGGGAGGCGGGGGGGGGGGGGGTGGAATCACTATATTAACAGACTTGAGAAACAAACTGTCATGAGAAAGATACGTTTCATAATGATGAAAGGACAAATCCACTAAGATTCAACTATTACAAACATACGACATATGTAATCATCAACAAAGACCCCAAAATACACAGAGCAAAAACTGACAGTAGTGAAGAGAGAAGTGACACATTCAAGAGTGACAGCTGGCAAGGGAAATAAGTCAGAAGTTAGAAGGACAGACTCCGAAGGACTGCACCCATTTGCGGGAGATCAGGAGGAACACATCGTGTGAGCCTAACACCCAAGGACAGGAGAAACCGGGGCCAGGACGAATGGTTCACGGTTGGAAGCCTGCCTCAAGGGCCGGGATAGAGACGGGATCATTATGGCAATGAGAGTTGGAAGGAATCACTCTGGATGGGAGATATGTGCTGAAAGTGGACCAAGGACCAGACATGATGGCCCCTCAGTATGCTTGTATTGCAAACCATAATGCCCAAAAGGTGTGTGTGTGGGGAGAGAGAGAG